CCCCCCCCCTCCTCTCCTTTTCTTTCCCTCTTTCCCTCTCTCCCTATCTCCCTCTCTCCCTCTCTCTTTCTCACATACTCTGAACACGTTGAGTCTCAGGGGGAGGGGGTAGCAAACCCGTGTTATTATGACCACGCGTGTGGTCACGTGGTAATCAACGTGTTAAAGGGGAGGGACAGTTATTTGTACCTAGGTTAGATGTATCGTTCTGCACATCGCCATCAGATATAAATTCGTCGGTAGAGAGGTACAACTGCTTCTTTTGTCTGAAACATAGATACAATATTGTATCTAAATTAATTAGATGGACACACGGACATATTTTACCTACCTACGTGCAAAAATTGTTTCTTTCAAGTCAGTGTCTATCCTGTTTTCTTCCTTCCCCATCTTTCCTCCGAGTTATGAACAGTAGTGGGGCACGCGGAACAAAGCAGTCGCTGCCCAATTGTGCGCGAACATGCTCGGGGCCGGGGCCGCGCGATGGACTTTGACCCTTATTCCCTGGTGTGGCATTGTCCGACCTGGCCCCGGGCTGCTGGGTGCTACCGCTGCCCGCGGGCCGATTGGCGCCAGCACTGTGAAAAATATTCGCAAGCTTACAGGAAAATTTTCCATGATGTGAGTCCGTAAAATTACAACTTAAAGTTGTAAACTTACAATCACTACCTATCGACTTGGACTTAATCGATGAGCCAAAATGGTCCACCGTAAATTTACAACATTATTCTGTAAAATGTCGTTACTTTACGAGGAAATTTTTCACAGTGACGCGGGCTCCACTACACTAAGCCTGTGCTAACCTCTGAACTGAAATTATTTCCAACTTTTCGGCACTGTATTTTCAACAAGATATATGAACCTCATCGAGTCATCATTAGGTAAAGACGGGTAAAAATAAAAGTACACTGAATTTTCGTTACCCTTTAACGCAAATAATTTTGTCATGAAATTTATTTATGGGCACAAGCCGCACAAGTAGTGGTTTGAGCACCTCCGGTCGTAGGGTAACGAAAATTCAGTGCACTTTCGTGTTTCTAATGATGAATCACTCGTTACGCTCAATATGTCCTCCCGTTGACAAGATCACGCCGTAAAGGTGAAAACAATGTCGGTTAAGTGAGCACAGTCTGCTCCTCTCCAGCCAGCCGCCACCATAAGGAGGTCGTGGCGGTCGCGACCGCTTAGGCTTAGCGGCGGCCCGATGCCTACGACGTCACCGAGACAATGGCCAGGGCCAAGGGTGGGTCCGGCAGGAGGGGGGAGGGGGTCAACTGGAGGACTGGAGGAGCCACTCCAGGCGGTCGCTTCTTGCTCAGATTGCCGCCGAGCGGAGGGGGGGGGCTAGAGGGGGCGCCCGCGGGCCGCGCAGGTGGGTAAGCCTCTTGGGCGGCTTGTCAAGTCGAACTAGAGCCGGGCCTGGGATGGAGAGGAGCTCGTGAGTTCGCTCCTGGATCCCCGGTCATCCCTAATAATATTCGCCCGCGCTTAAGACTTGGCAGCTGAGCCTGGTTCAGTTACGATTGGATGGAGAGGGGAGGGGGCGGAGACAAGCCGCAAACTGGGGGAAAGTCGCGGGAGAGCTGATACAGCTGCGGCCCTAGTGGACGTGGCGTGCTTAGCGTGCATCTCGACGTGCACAAGAAGAGAGAATAAGAAGATGAATAAAGCGCCTCCTGCTGCTCTGGCCATCTCTTGCCACGCTATCACTTCCTCAAGACCATGACCCTCTGCTTTCAGGACACACGCAGTGCTGGATCGAGCTGCCGCAGCGCTGGCACTGGCGCCTGTACATCACCGTCGTGTTCCTGGCGCTGTTCGCGCTGCCCGCCCTCATCATCTCCACCTGCTACACCGTCATCGTGTGCACCATCTGGAACAAGAGCCACGGCATGGCGGGGCCACGGCGCCGGCCGCGCAGAGGTGCGGGGGAGGGGAACAAGGGCGAGACCAACTCTGATCGATTTTGTCGTTTCGGAAAGCGAGAACCGCGTGTCACGTAGGGTATAGTCAGGTCGTCAAATGTCGCGTTAACATCGTCTGTCACCAATTTCCCCGCAGATATAATTTGGGACACAATGTGGTTTGTTGCCCCCCCCCCCTCCCCTCCAACCTAAAAATTTCTGCTTGGGCAGCTAAAATAAAAAGTTGATAACGATGTCTGTGTTCTTAGGGTCGTTGTCCCCTCATTAGTACATTTAACATAATTTGGTTTGAGAGAGTTTTCTTTTAAAACAGTGCACTTATTTGATGTGTTTTGTGCAGGCGCCGGCGAGGGCGGCATGCAGCGCGCGCTGATGTCGGGCCCGCTGCTGAAGCGCGTCAAGAGCGTTCCCTCGCGCTGGGGCTGCACCGACTCGGCCGCGGGGACGGGGCCGGCGGTGCTGGACGGCTCGCTGGCCTCTGTGCCCGCGAGGACGGGCTCCAAGGGGAGCTCGCGGAGCCGGGGGCCGGGCTCGGGCCACCGCGGCTCGCACGTCAACTCGTTCCGAACGCGCCCCTTCACGTCGGCGGCGACGGCCTGCTCGCAGGCGGGCAGCTTCCACAGCGGGCCTCCCAGGGACGAGTCCGACTGCCGGCGAGCCTCCTCCCGGGGCATCATCCCCCGCGCCAAGATCAAGACCGTCAAGATGACGCTCGTCATCGTGTTCGGTGAGCACGCAGCGCCAGCTCCGCACGCCATTTAGCTCAAAGCGACAATGAATTGAAAACCAATAAGATTGGTGAACGATTTTGCACTAATGAAATATAGGCATTGGCGGTGAAGTTGAGGGCTACATCCCTGCAAATGGTCCCTGAGAGTTGAAAACTATTGATTTGATAGCTGGAATCGAGAATCTTTTTGGCCGGTCGTGACAACGAACCCCCTTGAAATCTACGAAATCAGTGACTCATGTTGAACGCATGTTCTTTCTGTCTCAGTGTTCGTGCTCTGCTGGAGTCCGTACTTCGTGCTCAACCTGCTGCAGGTGTACGACGGCATCCCGCGCACGCAGACCAACATCGCCGTGGCCTCCTTCGTGCAGAGCCTCGCCCCGCTCAACTCCGCGGCCAACCCGCTCATCTATTGTCTGTTCTCGACGCACATCTGCCGCACGCTCAGGTCAGTGCGAGTGGCCTGGGAGAGGCGCCACGTGCTGGGTCCGCGCGCTGCTGGTTCTCGAGGGTCCCAGAGGGTCCCCCGAGGCGAGGGTCCTCCAAGGCCGGTATCCGGTGACCTCGACCCAGTCTGGTCCCGGGACGTGGGACGGGACGGGCAAGCCTCATTTAAAGTTGTCGCTGCCTACCTTTAGCAGCGCCGCCCGCCCCTGCCCGCTTTGCCCTGGTGCTGTAACGCTGTCCTGCCCGCAGGAAGGTGCCGCCCTTCACGTGGGTGCTGGCGCTCAGGGAGTCGCCCGCCGCGGTCCCGGACCACAACTCCGGTGCGACGGAGACGGTCACGCACCTGGGCACCTCGCCGTGCCGCCGCGCCGCCCTGCACCGCCACCACGTCACCATACGGATAGCCGGGCCCCGCGCGCCCAGCGTCGCCATCTCGGCCGTCTAGTCGTGCTTAGTCTCAAACTGAAGCCATCTATTTTTATCCTATTGTTTACTGCTAATAATCGTTTTAGAGGCATCTGTGATTTTTTGTTTTGTTTTCATAATCGGTAATAAAAATGCATGAAGATGCTGCTTCAGGCGGACAACTTTCTGGCAGCTAGAGATAGGGAATTTCATACACAGGGTACTTGGCAACCCATAGTATAAGACTCAAAGATCAGTACGTCGGCACCAAGGGGTGTGTGGGTATCGAAGTTATATGAGTGTTTGTTTTACGCAGGGTTTTTTAATTGCATTATTATTTATTTATTTATTTATTTATTCGAACTTAATGTTAATATTTATTATACCTTGCAAATACACATAGAATAAGTTTTCGGGTGTAATTGATGACACGTCTCGTTTGTGAGGGATTAAATGCTTCAATACCTTTTAAATTACGTAATTTGTAGTCTTACATTCTAGTCTTTTCAAAGGAAAAAAATGTACTAACGATGAAACGATGAATAATTTGCTAATAATAAAACCAGCCCTATTGTTTTGTAGTCACGCTCCCGTGCTTTTCCCCACCATTACTTACTTGGAACTTCTTGTTTGAACGCGGCCGCATAGCTTGGTGCGCGCGAAAGCAGTGCCGCCAACTTTCCCCCGCGACACTACACACGCCCTCCCCCTAATGAGGACCGCCCCAGGCGGCTCCAGGCGGCTCCAGGCAGCTCCAGGTGGCTCCAGGCGGCTCCATTCAGCGCAGCAGGCGTGCCGGAGGCTGCTGTGCGCGAGGCTGCTCGAGGTTATCTCGAAATGCTTTGAATTTAGCCGTGCTTCCGCCACGCCGCCGCCGCCTCGCGTGTCGTCGCCTGACAACCTTGGAAAGCAGTAAGGGAGAGACGCCTTGAGCAGGTGTGGCGGCTAGCAGAGGGCGGCCTTGAACATTGGGAACTGGAGCAGCAGCTCCGCCCTGCCCTGCCCGCGGGGCTGCGCACAAAACAAGGGCTGACCTTAGCCGCCTACGCCCGGTCCGCCTTCTCCATAAACTCCCTCTCGCTTATCTCTCTGGGCGAGCTTTTTACGTCAAATGTTCAGGATCGGCGGCGCGTCCTAATTTTTCAGCCCCCGCCCCTCTGCTTTGAAAAGGCATTAAAGCGGGATTAAATGAAATCGAACTGGCTCTGTAAAAAGTCTACCAAGCATTGTAAACTTGAAACTTGCTATTTGTAAACTTTAAACAGTGCCTGTTTGCCTTTCTTCCTCTCTGCATTCTCTCCATATGAGGAAGTTGCCCGATAAGAGGAACATGAAGAAGGTAGCACTGGGGAGGTGGCGTGGCGTAGCGCCGTCCCTAAACAAAGCAGAAGATGAGCGACAGTCTAGCAGAGGTTAGGACGCGTGTCGTTAGATTTCAAACAGTATAGAACGGCCTATACATCAAGCAACTTGGTACCACCTATACGAAAGTTTATTACGACAGTTGAGTCTTTATCATCGAGTTATAATTGTACCAATTTAATATGTCCGTACACTAACCTAAACAACGACACCGGGACGGTTTAGAGGATTGTATAAACTTACTTTTCCGAAGCCAAACTTTGCAGAAGCACTTTTTGACACTATATTGTTACGCCGGTCTAGTATGGGACCAATTTTTCTTTAAAAATTCTACAAAACTTGATTAATGATCACACATCCACTCGCGACAAAACACAGTATGGTCATCCGGCGTTCTGCTTTGTTTAGGGACGGCGCCACGCCACCTCCCCAGTGCTACCTTCTTTTTGTTCCTCTTATCGGGCAACTTCCTCATAGCTCTACTCTAGTGTGTGGCTGGCCAATTGCAGCATGAGTTCCGCCAGCAGCACTGATTAGCTGTCATGGCTTTTGTCGGCTAGGCAGGTACTTTCAAGCTCTGCTCACAGCTCATGCAGGGTAAGCTGTTCCCGGAAAGCGAGCCGGGAAGCCATTAGTTCCTGAAGCAAATATGATCACTTCAGCGCATGTTTTGCTGCAACAGTTTAAAAGTTAGCCAATTTCTGGCCAGCGCTACAGCTACAGCAGATGGCATTGTTATCTTCTTTCGTGTGAGCTGGGAAGGGGTTCGTTGGTCACGGGTCACCTATGCTCAGCGGCCTTCGCTATACTCTCGGCCTGCCTCGCGGATAGGCTCTCATGGTCGCAGGCCGGGCGAGGCTCACAGAACTTCGGCGAGCGAGCGGTGTCACTGGCCGGGAGGCAGCGCGGGGCAAGGTAGGCAACATCTCGTCTGCAGTGCATGCGTGTACTGCGGGATGGCCTACCCTATGCTCCACAGGCGCTGAGCCCCCGTAAATTGCGTATTCTGATAAAGGAGCCGAGTGATCGGAGGGGAGGGGGGAGAGGGGGCGGAGCTGAACGCAGCGGTCGCCACAAACACACCAAGGCCCCTGCAGCCCTGTTCTAGAGGAGATGGGAGGGGGCGGGGTACGTTTGCCCCTTCTGGTAGAGACAGTCTTGGGGACTGTCAAACAACGGACGTACTGGACGATCCCTATGTGACACTCGCAGAAGTAAGTTTACACCGGCGGCAGCTCTTCCCTGCAGCCGTGCTGGCCGTCAGTTTATATGGCCGCTGGGCGACCAGTCAACCGGTTCAAACGCCAGTCTGCCCCCTGCGCCTCCCCCCGCCCTCGCCGTTTCCCATCAAAATACCACGGATGAAAATGATTCGTTTGTCCAGCGTATGTAAATAACTCTGCTCTTTGTACACCACTTACTTTAATCCTGTCTAATTGAAACTTCGTCGAAACTCTCCGCAAAGTCAGCTTCCCAGTCGCACGATCTGTCGGTTCAAGGAATGCCCTGGTGTTTTGGTGATAGCCCCACTCTCGTGGAAACTTCGCCAGGTTCAACCAGTTTCAAAAGCAGCACTCTTTCGTGGCTTCTTGCTTGTTTTCGTTTGGGAACACTGCGTGAAAACACGTCGTAGCGGAGGTGGAAGTTTGGGAGCGCGCGGTGCATACTTTGCGGTATGCACATGGCACGCGCCCGCTGCAGCCGCCTCCGACCACACACGGCCACGCCCCGCCACCTCAGCGCTGCTGATAAAGAAAAGCCCCGGGCCCGAGCCGAGCGGAGCGCAGCCGAGCCGGGCCGAGCCGGGCCGAGCCGGGCCGAGCCGGGCACGACGGGGGCCGCGCGTCCCGCCGCCAGCCGTGCACGGCTGAGGTGTGCCGTCAGACAGTCTTTTTAAGTCCAGACAAGCGTTCAGCTTCGAGCAGCGGGCCGCGCGCGAGTCGTCACCATACCATCGCCGTCAACAACGCCGTCCTCTCGATCAGAGTCGCGCATTGCCAGGGGTTGCACCACAGCCCCCCTCTCTCCGCCGCCGCCGCTCAGCAGCTTCGCCAATCGCCACGCCCCTGCAGCCGCCCCGGCGCGGTGCGGCAGGGCCCCGGGCTCTACTCGCTCCGCTACACACCTGTTGAGGCGCGGCCGCCCTGGGCCGGGGCCGGGGCAGCTCTAGGAGGCGGGGGCCGCCGCCGCCCTCACAGCGCCGCGCCAACCCCAGCTCTGGAGAATGGCCCCCGCAATGGTAGGTCTAACCACAGGGCACAGGGCAGGTGAGAGGATGAGCACAGGTTCATTTGTGCTATGGGGCAAATTAGACACCACAGAAGTATACTTCGATCTGTCGACCTGATTGGTCAGGGCTGTTAGAACCTCGAGGAGGGACTGTCATTGCGGCTTAGCATTTGAGTTGTTTTATTCGTCATCAATAAATTATGCAACCGTATCTGTTGGAAAGAATGGCACTAAATTAATTCCATAGTTGCGATTGATTCCAATGAAATCGCACCGGAAACCACATAGTTCAAATGATTAAAGCATTTCTCCAGTCAGTTAAAGACAACCTTCGAGTTGCAGAGTCTCGTTTGGGTCCGGCCAGTACAGACCAGTTCTGTTGCAGGCGCGAGAAGAGGTGGGTGAGGAGGCGGCGGGGAGGAGGGG